GCATTCAAACACACGAGTCTATGGGACCATTCCTATTCAAATCATCACAGTCAGTATCAATGCCTTAACTTCAGTTCAGTGAAACTGACTTCATAATCTGACCTCTGGTGTAATGATTTCAGCCGCATAAGGCTGATACTTCCAGGGTCTAGAGGTTATGCAGGTGCAGACAAGCCCTCAGGCAGAGTGTCTAATGCCCCCCCCCCACACACGTTAAAGGGCCCCCGTGTGATCCACGTATGACTCAGCTAAGCCCTTGCGTGCATGCATGAGCCCTTTGTCATCTGCGTATGACATAGCTTTGGCAACCCCTGTGCACATGCGCTAGGCTGCTTTTAAAAGCTGAACCCCCCCCCCCCCCCACTGACTTCCCTAGGTCTGTACACATCTCCTCTAATAAACTTCTATGCGGAGTTTGTTGCATGTTCTGTGCTTCCTTCTCACTCGTGCCAGGCAATTTCATCTGGAACCACAGGGAAATACATTTGCATTGTTTTCAGCTCTTTCACAAATTAAATTTTTCAGATTTACTCTACGTGTTTTAATGTTTTGCTTGAATATGTATGTGTACCATGCGAGTGTCTGGTGCCCCCAGAGTTCGGAAGAGGGAGTCAGATCCCCTGGAACTGGAGTTACAGATGGTTTTAAGTCACCCTGTGGGTGCTGAGATCCAAACCTGAGACCTCGTACGAGTGACAAGTGCCCTTAGCCAGAGTCAGCTTTCCAGCCCCGCTCAGCTCTTTACAGCTGTGCCAGGGAACTAATGAGTTCATCCTCGGTTCCCGAAACCCTTTTCAAATGGGCAGTGTTCCTGGTTCATCTTGTACATGTTCCACCCCATACCTGGAGTCAACGTATTTCCAAGAAAGTCTGCTTCCTGTTAGTCGAAAATGGTATTTTGAGACCTTGATGAGACATTCAGGTTGTTTGCCTGCCTGCCTTTATTTCGTTTGTTCTCTCACTTGTCTTTGCTTGTTTGCTTGCTTATTTATTTATTTATTTATTTATTTATTTATTTATTTATGTCTTTGTGAGGGTTTCCATTGCTGTGAAGAGACACCAAGACTTGGCAACTCTTAGAACGAAAGCATTTAATTGGGACTGGCTTACAGTTTCAGAGGTTTAATCCATCATTGCCATGGAGGGAAACATGGTGGTACACAGGCAGACAAGGTACTGGGGAGGTCCCAGAGAGTTCTACATCATATCAGCAGGCAGCAGGAAGAGACTGTGAGCCACTAGACCTGGCTTGAGCTTCTGAAACCTCAAAGCACACCCCAATGACACACTTCCTTCTGCAAGTTTACACCTACTCCAACAAGGCTGTACCTCCAATAATGCCACTCCCTATGAGTCAACGGGGAGTCATTTTCATTCAGACCACCACAATTTATTTTTTTAATTTAATTATTATTATTATTATCATCATCATCATCATCATCATCATCATTATTATTTTTGGGGTTTTTGAGACAGAGTTTCTCTGTGTAACTACTCTGGCCTCCTGGAACTCACTTTATAGACCAGGCTGGCTTCAAACTCATGAAGAGTCATTTACCTCTGCCCCCTAAGTGTCACCACTGCCCAGCCCACAACTTTTCCTTTCTTTCTTCTTTCTTTCCTTCCTTTCTTCTTTCTTTCTTTCTTTCTTTTTCTTTCTTTCTTTCTTTCTTTCTTTCTTTCTTTCTTTCTTTCTTTCTCTCTCTTTCGCTCTCGCTCTCACTCTCCCTCCCTCCCTCCCTCCCTCTCTCCCTCCCTCCCTCGTGTCTGCCTGCCTGCCTGCCTTCCTTCCTTCCTTCCTTCCTTTACTTACTTATAGTAGGGCTTGATCCTAGGGTCTTGTTGAGCTCTATCTTTAGCACTTTAAGAAATTTTTGTTTGCTTGTTTGTTTTTTGAGGCAGGGTTTCTCTGTGTAACAACCCTAGCTGTCCTGAAACTAGCTCTTGTAGACCAGGCTGGCCTCGAACTCACAGATATTTACTTGCCTCTGCTTCCCAAGTGCTGGGATTAAAGGTATGTGTCACTACAGCCTGATTTAAGAAATATTTTTATTATATTTTTAAAAAATATATATATTTTATGTGTATGGTTGTTTTGTGTGCATGTATGTCTGTGTACCTTGTGTGTGTCTGGTGTCCATGGAGGTCAGAAGATAGCATTGCTTCTTCAGAAGACATCATACCCTGCTCTGGTACTGGAGTTACAGATGGTTGTAAGCCTCTATGTAGTTGCTGAGAATTGAGCCCTGGCCCTTGGCAAGAGCCAATGTTCTTAATAACTGAGCCATGTCTCAGATAAAGCACCAATTATCTATCTATCTATCTATCTATCTATCTATCTATCTATCTATCTATCATCTATCTACCTTTGCTTTTCAAGACAGAATTTCTCTGTGTAGCCTTGGCTGTCCTGGAACTTGCTCTGTAGACCAGGATGACCTCAGTCTCACAGAGATCTGGCTACCTCTGGCCCCCAAGTGCTGGAATTAAAGGCATACACCACCACTGCCTAGTAAATTTTCTAAGCATTATATGTGTATGTGTCTCTGTGTGTGTATATTTGCACACATGAGTGTAGTTCCCACAGTGATCAAAAGAGGACATTGGACTCCCTTAGAGCTAAAGTTACAGGCTATTGTGAACTGCCAGATATGGGAACTGGTGGTTTGAAAGAAAATGACCCCCCCCAAGGGAGTGGCACTAATAGGAGGTGTGGCATTTTGGAGTAGGCGTGGCCTTGTCAGTGGAAGTGTGTCTCTGTGGTCTCCTATGCTCAAGCTATGACCAGTGATGCAGTTTACTCCTTGATGCCTGTGGATCAAGATGCAGAATTCTCAGCTCTCATTTTTTCTCTGAAACTGTAAACCAGCTGAATTAAATGTTTTTCTTTACGAGAGTTTCTGTGGTCATGGTGTCTCTTCTCAGCAGTAGAAACCCCAACTAAGGCAGGAAGCAAACCTGGGTCTTTGGAAGAGCAGCAAGTGCTCTTACCCCCGAGTCATCTCTGCAGCCTCTGCATTGTAGTGGGCTGATCATTTCACACGTGCATGTGGCAGCACACATGCAGAGGTCAGAGGACAACCTGCAGAAGTTGAGTTTCTCCTTCCACCATGTGAGTTCTAGAACTTGAACTCAAGTTACCAGGCTTGGTGGCACATACCTTTGCCCATTGAACCATCTCACTGAACCTTCTGTACTCGTATTTTTATTTTTTATTTTTTTATTGAGAGAGGGTCTTCTAAGTTGGCCAGGCCATCCTTGAATTCACTCTGTAGTCTTTAAAGTATAAGAAAGGTGGCTATGTGTCAAACTCAAGTACTCAAGAGATAGAGGCAGGTAAATCTCTGTGAGTTCCAAGCCAACATGGTCTACATAGTGAGTTCTAGGCCAGGCAGAGCTATATAGTGAGGGAGAGAGAGAGAGAGAGAGAGAGAGAGAGAGAGAGAGAGAGAGAGAACACTGAGTGAGTAAAGCTGCTTGTTGCCAAGCCTGATGACTTGAATAGGACACCTTCAACTCATGTGGTAGAAGAGAACCAGCTCCCACAAGTAGTTTTCCAGCTTCCACACGAGTGAGGGCCCCACCTCCAATTATTAAAAAATATAGAAAGGTGTAGTTCTATTGTAAATCCTTTTATCGACTTATTTTCTTATGTGCACAGCGAGTCAGGCAAGCATAAGGAATATTCTAGTAACCTGGGGCTCTATTTGGATTAGGTTATGTGTTACCCCCCCTTCTAATAACACAGTTGGCAGCCTAGCTCCTTTACCTGTGTGTACTGTGCAACACCCCCCCACACACAATGCACCCAGCAACCTTGGATGTCCTCCTGTGTGTGACTACACATACCCTTCTCTGAATAATAGGATAAATATGTCCTCCCCTAACAACCTTCAAACTTAGACAGTTTCTATTCACATATACTCCCAGTGTATACAGTACAAAGAATGGAAAATCCTATTTGACCTGAACTGGATTTGGGCACATGCTCACTAAGGTAAACTGTGTCCTGTAAGTGAACATTTAGGAGGAATCTCCTATTAACCATCTTACGCTAATGCATATTTGGGTATACATATAATCAAAATCAGATGCATTATGGGAAGGTGAATGTGTAGTAGGAAAATTATTTTATGACATAATCTATCAATCAAAATACAGAACCATCAACACTATGGCCCTTAGTGCAAGCTCCTCCTTCCTTTAGCCCCATAAAAGGGTCCCAGGCTATTGCTTGGTGTGGTCTCACGTGGATCATTGCTCTCTTGCATTATATTTTGATTTTTAAATATTTATTTTATGTGCATTTTGTATATATTGGTGTTTTCCTTGCATGCACGTCTGTTTGAGGGTATCAGATCTTGGTACCTGACAGTTGTGAGTTGCCATGTGGAAACTGCTGCCATGTGCTGGGAATTGAACCCAGGTAGTTCTGGAAGAGCAGTCAGTGTTCTCAACCACTGAGTCATCTCTCCAGTTCCATTCTGATCTTTTCTATTGCTTTGCTTGAAATAAAGTTTCCTTGCTACTTTCACAGATCTGTGTGGGCTGCTCAGTGTTACCAGCAGACCAGGATTGCAGCCCACAGTTCCAAGCCATTTTGGCTGCTAATCCTACACTGAGCTCCTACAAAGGATGAAGTAGCAATGCGGCTAAAGGAGGAGGCATTTGTCTAAAACAGAGTCCTGACATGAAATACATGCCAGAACAAAGCAATCACATTTCATTATTGGGATCCAAACTTTTGCCTCAAAATGTTACTCAGTGGAAGGAGCACTTGTTAGCATGCACAGCAAATCCAAACCCAAACCACTTCCCTTCAACACCACTGCCTCGAGCTCAGCTTCCTTTTGTGTGTGCTCCAGAGACTGGTGAGGTCTCAGCTGGGAATTGCAGCGGACCTCCCCATGTGGGAGTATCATCTAGCCTGTCTGTTTTGTGGCTGAACCTGTTTGTTATTGGGTAGAAATGGTTTCCAAGAGACCAATTGGCTCAGGCCAGGAGGAATCACTGTATGAGCTTGCAGGAGAGAAAAATGTGTACACAGAAAAGTAGTGTATCTTCTCTTAGATTGAAGAGGACTTCATTTCTAGAGATAGAGTCTCACTAGGTAGCCCTAGCTGTTCTGGAACTCACTCCGTAGATAGGTTGGCCTTGAACTGACAGAAACCCACCTGCCTCTGCCTCCCAAGTGATGGATTTAAAGGTGTGCACTATGCCCAGCTGAGTTGATTTTAGACAGGGTCTCCAGTAGGGCATTTGGTCTCACCGAAAACTTGCTGTGTGTTGAAGTGCTAATTACTTTGATTTACATTAAGTGTTCAGAAACAGTATATTCTAGATCGTTCTTTCTCACTTGCCTTGCAGCAGGAAGTGCTCAGATAGTAAAAACAAGTATACAAACAGTCACACAAGCGTAAAAAGAGGAAACAGTTGGATGGGAACTTTGAAATCACATGACTGGTGACTAAGTTTAATCTTTTCCTCCTTACTGTCGAGTCCGATGGTCTTCCTTGCGTGTGTAAAGTGTTGGAGATACCACATCATGTTGCCATTTATTCTCTTCTCTACGCTGCTTCCTCCCACATTTGCCGAATCTGAGCAACAGTGGTTCTGCAACTCCTCCGACGCGACTGTTTCCTACAGCTACTGTGGTAAGTGGTGTGCAGCAAGTTACTGCAGCGCCAGCTGTTTTCAGAGAAAGTTTTCACAGAACTCGAAGCTGGAGGGCCGGGGAGAGGGCCTCTGCGGTTCCAGCTGTGGGGGCTGCTGAGGTCTGGGGTGGGGGATGGGGGATGGGGATGGGGTGGGGGCGGAGCGAGCGACCACTTCCGGGTGTGGGTTTCTCCCCGTTCTGTGTGTTTTTTAGCGCTTGTGTTTCTGTCGCTCCAGAGCTCTCAGTTCCAGTGCAGTTGTTTCTTTCAGAGTCTCAGACCTGAAAAACTGGTTCCTCCTAAGGAAGCGGCTTCCTGGTGGGGGTTTCCGCTCCAGTCGGTGGTCCTAGAGGGCTCCTCGAGCATCTCTGTTCTTGGGTTTCGTTTCTCTCTTTCACCAACTGTATGATCTTCAGCAATTCTTAGGCATTCTCTGCCTCACTTTGTTTTTTCAGTTGCAAAATGAAAGTGATTTTAGAGTTCACTTTATGAGACTTGCTAGAGTTAAGGATTTTACCAGAGTCATTTAGAAAAAGTAAGATTGATTTTGGATTTATGCGGTTATTATTATTATTCTATAATTCGTTTTGAGACAGGGTTTCACTATGTAGCCGTGGTGGTTAGCCTGGAGCTGGGCTGGCTTAGAAATCACAGAGATCTGCCTGCCCTTACTTTCTGGGATTAAAGGTGTGAGTCACCACATCCCACGTATTTTATTATTATTTTTTTTAGACAGGATATCAGTATATAGCCCTGGGCTAGCCTGGAACTTGCTATATAGACCAAACTGGCCTGGAACTCAAAGAGATCTCCCTTCCTCTGCCTTTTGAGTTATTTGCTTATTTTTGCCTGGAACTCACTATACACACTATGCTGGCCTCAAACACAAGCTCCCTGTTTCCTCAACCTCCCCAGTGCTGGAACTGCAAATATTTTTCAGTTGAGCTAAACTCCGATGCTACTGGTTCCTAATTAATGCCCTTGCCACCATACAACTAGCAGACGCCTGGGATGTGAAGCCCTCGCACAGGGACTTGGTAGTTGTTTCAGTCTATTTTCTCTTTTGTTGATCACTCCGTTGGTTGTCCGTTATTGTCCCCTCTCTAAATATCTGGATGGTTGGAAGGTGATGCCTTCTGAAATGCCAGATCTGCAGCTTCATGTCCGGAAGTGCTGCAGGGACTTCAGAAACGTCCCTTGAGAACTGCAGTACTGAGGGCTGCAGTCACAGCATTTCCTGGGGGACTGGCTTTTGAAGCTCGCTGGCTGTGGTTAATAGCTGTTCACTTCGGGGTCATTAGGAAAGTCCCCAGTCTGCTAACCTCTTTTTTCCTCTCCTTTTTGGCCCTCTGTTTTGTCAATTTACTTATCTTTGTGTGTGTGTGTGTGTTCTGGTATATATGTGAACCATGTGCATACTGGTGCCTGCAGAAGTCAGAAGAGGACATCAGATTCCCTGGAACTGGAGTTACAGGCTACTTGAGCAGACTAATGTGAGTGGATCCTAGGCTAGAGCTCAACCACTGAGCCACATGTGCAGTTTCGAATCTACCTCTTTGGTACTACATAGTGACTCTTCATATGCCTATTAGTAATGTATAATACATATTATTATTCATCTGTACTCTTTTAGTAACCATTTAGATCCCTTTGTCTTTGTTGTTTGTTTTTTGATACAGAGTCTATGTAGCTCTGGCTGTTCTGGAACTTGGTATGTAACTAGGCTGGTTTCAAACTAAGAAACCTGCCTGACTCTGCTTCCTGAGTTCTGGGACTAAAGGCATGGGATACCCCACCGGACATACACCTGGCTTCCTCTGTCTTTTGGTGAGACTTTCTGAGGTAGAACCTGCTCCTTTGCTCTGTAACACCAACAAGTCCTGGACCTTCCCTGGAGCCCCCTGACACAGGCTAGAAAGAAAGCAACAAGGGTCTCTACGCTATGACCCCACAGGCTGCTGCCATACTAGAACGTTATCACTTCTCTGCCCGGGAGAGTCCACTGAGTCAGAAATACCTCCCTTTGGAAAGGGTTAATCCCTCTGGAATCGGCAGGGGAGTGCTAGTTATGGTGACACCTGATTCAGTCCTTACTGTGAGGATCATTTCCAAGAAAGAGAAGAGATGCATCTTTTCTAGGCAGGGTTAGTGATTTTGACTTGCCTGAACAAATCACTATAGAGTCAGGCATGGTGCTGCATGCCTTTAATCCCAACACTTGTAAGACAGAGGCAGGCCCGATCTCTGGGAATTCAAGGCCAGCCTGGTCTACAGAGAGAGTTCCAGGACCCCAAGGGCTACACAGAGAAACCTTGTCTGAAAAAACCAAAACCCAAAACCAACAAAACAAAACAAAAGAACAATCAAACAAACAAAAAACCCATATCACTATAGTTTGGGGGGGCTTAAATAAGAAACATTTATTTTGGACTATCTGGAATTCAAAGTCAAGATTTTAGCGCATTTGGATTTTTCTTGGCTTGCTGAAGGGATGCTATGGTTTTGGATGCATATGCTCTGACAAACTCACGTCAAATCTATTCGTTGCTGTAATAATATTAGGAAGTGTTTTGTGAAGCAGGATTTCACTGTAACTCAAGATGACCTTGAACTCACTCTGTAGTGCAGGCTAGCCCAAATTAGCCTTAAAATTCATGGAGATTCTCCCATCTCAGGCTCTGGAGTGCTAAGATTAAAGTTTATCCCACCCCCACCCCAAGCCTGGCTTTTATAGTAATTTCCTAAGGTTCATGAAAAATCCTACTTAGCCTGGGCATGGTGTTTCATGCTTCTAATTCTAGCATTCATGAGGTCAAGGCAGGAAGATTGTTGCAATTTTGAGGCCAGTCTGGTCTACATAGTGAGTCCTAGAACAGCCCATGCTAGAGAGTAAGATCCTGTCTCACAAAACAAAGATGAATAAACAGTTTGTCTCAAAGATGCTGGCGGACTCACTTGAATTATTTGTTTGTTTTTCATAGATTTACTTATTTAGTAGTGTTGGGCCTGAACTGTGCATGGCTAGGCATGCATTTTGACATTGATCTATGTCCCTCTCCTGACTTGAATTTATTTTGGACTGACATCCACCAATTCTAGCAACATCTTTTACCCCAAGAAGATAGATTGTGTTGTTACACCCTGTCCATTGTGTGCCATGACGAAGGAGAGAGACAACACTTATAGGTTCCAGAGATTCTAATAAATCACCACACAGGCAGGTCACTGATGGATCAGGACTGTAGGACAAGGACTTCAGAGCCTGGTTTCTTCTGGCAGCTCTGAGTAGGGGCAAAAGTGGGGTTTAAAAGTGCAAAAATTATAAACATTTATTGCCAAGTTACAGTTATAATTTTCACCAATAGGAAGTCAAAGATTAGGAACTTTCCTTGTGTGTTCCATCATTGTCAATGGACACAATATGGGAGCTTTTTAGTCCAACCTATCAGTTTTAGGAACTAAGTGGGTAACAGACTGTTTATATGGCTTAGGAAGGATGTTGTTCTGCCATTAGAAAGTTCTCAGCTTCCCTATGGCTTAGGAACTTGAACTGCTTCCCACCCTTCCCACAGATAAAATGGAGTCTGCAGGCAAATTGGCAATACTCAGGTCAAGGTGCTTTTGCCTGCTCCCTTCACTGTCACCCACAAACATTAGAATTCCGGGATTAGTGAGATGGGTGTTAATTAGATGATCTTATCAATTCTTCCTCTTATGGAAAAGCTGAGAACCAGCAGTTTCTGTCTTTGCACATGCAGAGCAGAAGTAGTGTCTGTCGACTCCAATGGTGTAACTAGACTGTGCAGCCTATCAGAACTCCAATATGCACAGCCCGGAAGTCAGTGCTTTGGGGAGCTGGATTGGAAGAGTGTAACATGAGGGCCGGCTTTTGGGGTTTCTGTCTCGCCCGGTACCCTACAGCCGGCAAGTCCCAAAGAAAATCACACAGAGTC